TAGCGCGGCACTGGCGCGCGGCGCCTGCGACCGCCGCCGCGTGGCGGCCACGCGGTCGAGCGCCAGCCCGCATTCAAGATTGATCTAGCGGTCAATATAAGAGACCACCCACGCATCAATCGACATCGAAACTGGAATCTCAGAGAGAGCTCCTAGGGCCTCTGAATCTAGCAGATCACTTTTTGTACCGTGAAGTGAGCCCCTCGGGCCTTCACGTCAACAAAGCAGACTCTCTTTACAGGGTCTTTTATCTGTACCTCGGAGTGAGCTCTCACGGACCTCCGCTACTCCTCGGAGTGAGCTCTCACGGACCTCCGCTACTCCTCGGAGCGAGCTCTCACGGGCCTCCACGACTCCTCGGAGCGAGCTCTCACGGGCCTCCGCTACTCCTCGGAGCGAGCTCTCACGGGCCTCCGCTACTCCTCGGAGCGAGCTCTCACGGGCCTCCGTTACTCCTCGGAGTGAGCTCTCACGGGCCTCCGTTCCTGGCAGGAAAGACCAGCCGCCAGCCTGCCGCGAAAAAGGCGCCGGGACCACTTCGGTCCCCCAAGACCACTCTCCTTGGAGGAGAGACCATTGGATGAGGGTATCACCTTTGTGCGGTGGCACTTGATCCCACTGGACCAGCCGGACGAGCCAGGAGCAGCAGCAGCTATCGGAGATCCCAGACGACGACCTGTCTGCGAAGCCACGACGCAGACTTGGCCACCGGTGCCACGGGATCCTTTACCACCTCTAAAAGAACTCTGCGAGATTCGACCGCCCATCAGTCCACTGCCGAAGACGCCGCAGAAGCCGAGGACACCCGGGCGTAAGCGGGCCAAACGGATCAATCCGAAACTACAACAACAGCTGTTTGGATCCGACACGGACAGTGAATAGTACACACTTACACCCAGCGTACACGCGCCGCAAGGCGCCGTAAAGCATTTCATATAGTACCAAAAGGTACTTCTGTACATAGTGTACATACAGAGTTGAATAAAGATCACAATATATATTTAATTTGTGGATACACCAGTTATTCAGCGGTACCCATCCACAAAAGTAATGATAAGCAATGTTCTTGTAATATTAATAATCAATGTAACCTTGTCACTAATCAACATTCTTTCAGGATAAATAGATTTAAATGTAATTCAGAGAATTTTTGTTTCGAAGGGAAAATAAATAATAAGCAATGCACATTTAGAATTGACACTGGCTCAGATGTATCTATTTTAAATGAGAATTTGGTAGAACTGAATGAGAATAAAGTTAAAATAAATAATTGTAATGTAAAATATCCCACGACCGAAAAAGTTACAATTAATTATAAAATGCTTACGACAGTTCGACTTGGGAATTACTTAGTGGAGATTCCAATGTTAATTGCAAAAATTAATGATGATTGTATTCTTGGTATCGATTTTCTTGAAAAGATTAATTTGGGAAATATTTTCGAGTCCTTCTTTCTTAATCAAAAAGAAATTCTGAGGAATGATGTTCAATGTTGTCGAGTAGAAGAATATGATAAGTTTAATATTCTATCAAATTTGAAATGTCTTTTTGAAAAGGATATTCCAAATATTTAAATCAGTCACAGAAAGAACTTTTAGCAAAACTACTTGTTGAATTTCAGGATATATTTGCTGAGGAAATTATTGCTGGGAATTGTGAGGTTGGGGAACATGTAATTAATATAAAAGATTCTATCCTCATTAAGCAGATTCCTCGTCGAATTCTAATTAATATGAGAAAGGACGATAATAAAATTATTGAGGATATGAGAGAGAGTAGGTATACTGTAGCGGTTCTAACCCAGGTCCTCCGAGAGGAGTGCGGGGAGCGGGGGGTACTGGTAGGCGCGAGGTGCTGGAAGGCCCCGGCGTTATCGGGTGTTCCGTAGGCGAAGGAAGGCCCCGGCGTTATCGGGTGTTTACATAAACACCCGAAAAAATGCGTTTGTGGTCGCCACCGCCGCCACCGTTGTTCCCCCCGCGCAGATCCCACACCAACCCCGAAATGCGTCGCGGTACTATAATGTGAATAAGATATTTTGTTTTAGGAGATCGGTAACATGTCGCGAATATGACACGACGCGTTAAGAGAGGCGTCGATAGCGATTTTTTTCTAAGAAATGATAGGTGTCACATCGCCGATGCTGCGACCTAATAGAGGGTAGACAAAGGGACAAAGAAGTTTCAAATGAAATATATAATGGGTCATCAGCGCGTGGTACCTCAGTTGGTGCCCTGTATGATTATCGAATCAATCGTTAAGTGCAATGCAAAAAGTATG